GCTCTTCTTGCCTTGAGGGTTTGTGTTGAGAAGTCTGCTGTGATTCTGATGGGCTTTCCTTTGTATGTGATTTGTTTCTTTTCTCTGCTTGCAGAATTTTGTTCTTCTATTGGGTTTCTGGAATCTTTATTATATGCCCATGTGTACATTTTTTTTTTTGAACAAGGGTATTTGGAGTCCTATATGCTTCACTTATCTGCAGGTCAATTTCTTTTCCCCTGCTTTGGAAGTTTTCCAGCATTACTTCTGTGAACAGTTTTTTTTATATCATCTGCACTCGCTCCTGTTTCTTCATTGACTCTGATCAGTGTTATGTTATTCTTCTTTGCATCATCTACCAGCTGCTGGATTGATTTCTTGAGGTCCCTTACTATTTTAAAGAAATTTTTCTTTTCCTTGTCACTAATTGCAGTCTTATTTTCTATATATGAAATTCTGTCCTCACATTGGCTCAATCTGCTGCATAAACTTTCAATAAAGTTTTTAATCTTCTGGAAATCTGTTTGCATCTGTTTTATGGATTCCATTGTTTCCTATGTTGGGATTCCATGATGTTCCTCAGCTCCTTTCTTTTTTTAATCTGTGTCCTCTCTAGATTTATTAATCATGTCTTGTACTATGGGCACAATCTCTGCTGTTACCTGAGAAATTATTTCTGATTTCATTTTTTCCAGATCTCTTTTGTTGCCAGTTTGGGGAGTCCAGGTGGTTCAGTATCAGACTGTTTCATCTGGGTGCCCCTTAGGGTTGCCTTAGGTGATCTGGAAGTCTGATTTTGGGACTTGTTTATGTGTCTTGTCATTTCAACGGGAGGTGGGGTGCTCTGCTCCTTAGTGCTGGGGGCAGTGGTAAGGTGGACTGGAAGGCTCCTCTTCAGTGCTGGGGTTGGCTCTGGTTAAACATTTTGAATTAATTCAAGATCTTGAGCAAGACTTGGTGGTGAATACCTGTAATCTCAGCACTTGGAAGACTGAGGCAGGAGGATCACCATGAATTTCAGGCCAGCTTGGGCTACATAATGAGTTCAAGGCCAGCCTGAACTACATGGTAAGCCCCTGCCTCAAAATAAAAAAATAGGGCCAGGGATTTAGCTCAGTTGTTCTGGTGCCTGCCTCGAAAGTGCAAGGTCCCGAGTTCCATCCTTGGTAGAAAAAAAAAAAACAACAAAAAAAACCCAAACCCCAAACCAAAACAAAACAGTAAAAATTTAAACATTTACTGGAGCTTTAAAAAAATCAAACCCTTTATTTTTTTGATACAATTTGGGATTTTTTTTTGCCATTGTGTGCATATTACTTTCCAGTAAAAAAGTTAAATGATTTGAAAAAAATTCACTATTGACAAGAAGACTGTTCTATTTAGAGAGCAACATGCTTCTTCCTATGTATCCCACAAAACAGCAGGGGTGAATGAATGTCTTTGTCTCACATCCCTGCTAGATTTATGTCAGAGCGGAGATATCTGCTTGGATATATCTGCTCATTCATATTGTTTTTTTCTCTCTCCTCTCCCTTATTCCACATAAAACTTGAGGACAAATGGAATTTCAATAAAGATGATCTACAGGTAAAGCTAATGAAAGTAATTTATGTTTTTTGGTACAATTCATAATACTAACTTTTGATTACAGGAGATATATTCTGAATTATATTTCATGTAGGTTGTCTTAATGAGTTTCTGGGGCACAACATATACTGCAACAGAAGGAAAAATATTCCCAGAGCCTGGTGGAAGGTTGGAAGAAACCAGCCAGGACTAAAAACTGGTTATGAACAAGGTTTTCATCAATATGGGTTCAAGACTCCTTTCTGAGAATGAAAATTTGAAGCTGAACTGTGATGACATATTGGTAACATAACTAAAGATATTCTTTTAATATCTGATCATCATGTAGATAATTCCTCAAATCAAATCAAAGTGACCTGGCTATAATTTTAAGGAAGCAAGAGTTCTACACATTTTTTAGTACCAAGAAACTCTATCAACTACAATGTATTCTTCTGGAAGATAGAATTAGTGGGGGTGGGAAGTACATGATATCTATAAAAATGGAAAGTTGAAAAACAAGTAATGCCCATGTGTCTCCACAATGGAGCAGAAGTCTTAACCAACCAGCCTTCAGTCCACTTGGAAATGCTTATCTCAATGGGACATGTGTACCAAGGAAAAGTCCCATTTCTGGCAGTGATTCCATGTTCCCTGTGTCACCTTCCTAAGTATATCTGGTTTCCTCACACACCTGACCTGTAGCTAGCTTCACAGTGCAGTTTCATAAGACCCACAGGGGTCCTATGAATCATTTTAGTTCAATCTTCTCCCAATATAAGAATGCTATGTGCTGTATTCTAGATGTGCTCTACCACCTCTAACTTCATAGATTGAAATCAATGCAACAATATGAAAAGATGACGCTTCAAGATGATTAGATCATGAGAGCACCACCATGAGTGGGATTAGTGTCCTCATCACAAAGCTCTTTAGGAGTTTGTTCACCCCTTTGCCATGTGAAGATGCAACAAGGCACTATCTTGAAAGCAAAGAGCAACTGGTGCCTTGATTTTGGACCTCACAACCTCCAGTCTGTGAGGAATAAATTGTTTATAAATTATACAGGGTGAGCTATTTTGTTATAGCAGCCTGATGGGTCAATACACTTCCTAACTTCTCATCATGTCCTGCCCCAGAACCACCATCTATGAACCTTTAAAGAAACTGATTGTAGGAGAAACTCTTCCACCCCTTTTAAGGCTCCTGAAACTCAAATCCACTTTGATGAAATAAATGTTCAATGTTCTTACATTTATTTTGTCTTAACTGGAGGTGGGAGGAAACCAATAAAAGACTTATTTTATTTTATTTTATTTATCAATAGTAACCAAAAAAAATCAGGAGTTACAAAAACAAGTTGAATGCAATATGGAAGCATACTAAATACAAATACATTTTCACAAACACACAGGCCATAGAAACCTGTTCAAATTGTTTCCTGAAGTTTGACTATTTAAACCATAGGTGTAAAGGAAAGACATTCAGACTGGTTCAGATGCACTTATCAGCAGGTGGAAGAGCCCTATTTTCCAAAAACAGTGATAGTGTCCAGCCAGAGTTATGTCATATGGGAGGGTTTCCATGGACCCTGGATCTGAACAGACACTGTAAAACTACACAGAGAAAGTCCAGGAAGCTTGCAGTTTATGTCCTATATGCTTTTAGAAGGCTAAAGAAACTGAATCTGATTTAATCCTGCCTGTTTGCACCATGCAAAGCTCTATGCAAGACTCCCCAAACTAGGCTACTTAGCAGCTTTCCATGAATGGCCCTCAGATCACATGATTCTATGGTACAGATAGCAGCTGCCCTATTTACACAGAAGCAGCAGACTCAAGAGGAATGTGGCTTTGCTCTTGGGAATTGAGTGTTGCAGTGTAGGGTAGAGTCTTGGATGGTAATTCCTGTTCTAAATGTGACCAGTAAAGAGACCCTGTGGCTTCTTGCTTTAAACAAACTGGTACTATTGCCCTCTCCCACTGTGTCTAAGAGCTGGCAAAACTTTCTTTGATTAAGGCATGCTGCTGTGGGTTCTCCAAGGCACTTGGACAGAGAGCTGCATTTCAGACTGCACACATGAGGTTCAAAGACAGCTTTTTAAAAATGGGGTGACACATAGAAGTTCAGAATTCTAACTAAGCAAAGTGGAATTTTCTCCTTTTAAATGAGTGTGAGGAAAACTAGAAGGAATTTCTTGTCTGGCACAAATTTGTCTGTTGCCTGAGCAGTACCATCTAAATATCTTTTCTCTGAGGGTCAGTGACTTGATTTTCCAAAAGAGATCCAGTTTTTGCTTTTGTTATGCCAAATGCATCTGAAACATGGTAATGAGGTTTAATAATTAGGAGCCAAAAGATGCAAGCATAATTGCAAATAACTCAGCTATAAGGCTCAATCTCCACTGTGTACTCCTCTTGAATTTGAAACCTTCTACTGGCCACATCTCTAAAGGGACAGGTCTTTCTGACTCCAACAAGAGGTTGCACATGACATGCATGGTTGGAGACTAGTACGGTGGTTCTCTCACCCTTCTTGGGCTGGCTTTCCCAGGAAGGTCTCAAATACCTGCACAAACTGCAAGGCTTATTCAGACTGAGGTCAAGCTTGGCTATCTTGTTTTTTGGCTGACTCTTCTTATTATAATAAAGTTTCATTTATCTTAAGGAGAAGGAAGAAAATTACAGGAACCTTTTGCTCTCTAGACAACTTCCATAATCACAAAATTTGTAATTTATCAAATCAAAAGCTTAATGCATTCTTAACCACTCACTGAGGAAACCAGGGCCCAGAAATTGGAAGAAATAGGGTCAAAATCACTCTGCTAATGTTACTGGTAGACCAATGAGCATGTTCGTAGGCTGGGATATGCTAAGCTTCTATCCTTTGGAATAGTGATTGGCCTGACCTTCTCAGAGTAAATGAACACAAATTAACTTTTTGAATCTTGAAAGTTTTATATGAAGATGCTTCCTCTTCCCCTGACTTCCATCCAAGGCCTCCCTACCCCTTGGCACACAGCTGACCTGCTGGAAACCAAGCAACCAACTTTGGGCTACATCTAATCTAGTCTGTGGCAGGGTCAGGGGTGTCTGGATTATAGAGCTCCGTGCACCAGGAAGAACTCCAAACTCCTTCACCTCAGAAATGGTAGAACTACCTTAAAATAATTACAAAAGCTTAATATCTAGTCAAGAAAATAAAACATAAAACAACAACAACAATATCATGATAATAATTGAAAAATGAAGTCAACTTCCAAAAAAGAGAAAGTGTTTTACAGAGAAGTAGCACCTTTGGTAAAATGTATTTAAAAATTTGGTTAGGTCTCTACTGGGCTCAAAGTATACAAGTATCTGCATAATTTGGGCATACTCCCAGAAACTCCATCCAAGTCTGAGGGGTGTGGGTCACTAGCAGGATGGCTGTGCTTAGAGGAAGTGGCTGGGACCAAGAGGAGAAGTAGAGATGCTGGACATCTGTCATGCTGACAGCAGTGACAACAAGGACCAGAAGCAGAACGTGGTCCCCGACCTCAGAGAGGCTTCAGATCTGGATCTGAGCCTTCCATTCCCTCCTCCAGGGACTGCCTGCCCAGTCCTCTCTGGCACTGTGTTCACTCCCTGCAGCCATGACCTCAGAGAGGCTTCAGCTCTGGGTCTTCCCTCTCCCAACCTGATGCAGTTTTCCTACTTGCTTCCAGCCCCAGAGCACTATATATAGCTTCTCTCAAAGCTCTCCTAGAAATGGAGGCTATGGCCCATCCCCTCCTAGCCAGCCACCTCCATTTCCTTTATTGCAAAACAAATAAACAAAATAAAATTTGTTGCTGTACGAGCAAATACTGGTGATTTGGCAATTGTAGCAGACACTTGGTATACTGGACTCAGCGCTGAAGTAGAAGAGAAGGTGCTGCACTCCAGACACTCTTCCTATGTGCCTCTTAGATTTCTTTGGTGCTCACCCTCTTGGTCTTTTCAGCGGTTTCCTTTGAGATGCAAAAGAAAATCATCATCATGGAAATATTTAACAATACGATGCACTGACGATGCATGCTTATGCTCAATTTTAGTTGTTTACTTCTCTGGCTCCTCTGTGGATGCTGAGCAACTTGGGGGCAGGGACCACATCCTTTTCATGACATGGTGGTATAGGGGCTGTTTACTAGATTAAGAAGTGATCCCATCTTAACGCCTATGAAACTAGGATATGATGATCTCCATTTTAAAGATAAAGAAAAGGACACTAATATGGAAATTATACAAGATATTGTGACTCTAACAAGACCCAGATAATTAAGACCACTGGGTTCCATAGGCAGACTGCTTGTTTGGATTTGGCTGTGCTACTTTCTGGTGACTTTGGGCATGTTGTGAAACCTCCTGTGTCTCAATGTTTTCAATTGCAATATGAGGGTTATGAGAGATGAACTCTTACAACAGTGCCTGGCATGGTCCTCCAAAAAAGATACAAAAATGGCCAATCAAAAGATGTCCAATATCATCAATTATTAGGCAAATAAAAATAAAAACCTCAAAGAGGTTCCACTTCACATCAACTAGAACATAAACAATTTTTGACAAGAATGTGAATTTAAACATGGAGTTATCATCTGACTTAGCAATTCCATTCCTAGGAACATAGGTCCACACAAAAAACTTGCACAATAGTGTTCACTGCAGCATTATTCCTGGCAGTCAAGAAACTGAAACACATTAATACCTACTGACTGATGAATGAGTGCATAAAGTGTGTTACATCCACGCCATGGAATGTTATTGAGCCCTAGAGAGGAATAAAGTACTGAGTCATGCTACAAAGACGAACCTTGAAAACATTATGCTCAGTGCAAAACGTCAGACAGAAAAGGCCTTATATGGTATGAGTCCATTTACATGAAATGTCTAGAATAGGCAAATGTATAAATACAGAAAGTGGATTCGTGGTTGCCAGGGTTAGTGGTGATAGCTGATACTTTTGTTGTTGTTGTTGTTAGAGATAGGGTCTTGCTATATGTATTTCAGGCTGTCCTTGAACTCACTATGTGGCCCAGGCTGGCCTTGAACTGATGGTAATCCTCCTGCTTCAGGCTCCCAAGTGCTGGGATTAGATATGCACCACAATGCTCAGCTTGTTACCCTCTTAGAATATACTAAAAAAAACCCCACTGAATTGAATACATTAAAAGGGTGAGTTTTATACTTTGTAAATTATAACTTAATTTTAAAAAAAGGAAAAATACTGACAACAGTGGCTGATATTCTAGCAGACAGGACTGGTGTAGTTTGGTAAACACTAGCATGCCTTCTTACTGCCATACTAATGGTTTTCTCTGGCTTCAAGAACCCATACTGTCCACACATGCTGATGGCCAGAAATACCAGGGAATTAATGTCTCCTGGTAGCAATCCTCAATCAGTTGCTCATGGGGGTTTTGTAGAGATGCCCCAGCTCCTCCCACCTTCAGCATAGTAATTCTGTTCCCAGAATTCCCCACAAGATTAAGCTCTGTGTGCCCATGCTGTTAACATGCTTGAATATGCTCTTTATTGATTCCTTCCTGGACACATTTCTCTATCCCTCTTCTGCTGTTCCCTGGGATTGGCTCCCAAATACACTATTTCTACTTGAGTTCCTGCCTCAGTGCCTACTTCTGAGTGAACTCCGTAAGACAGATAAATCTAAAAATGTTAATTATTGGAATTCACTATGCAGTGTCGCTCCAGTATAATTTCTCCAACTTCAATGAAAGGAATTCCCATGAAGTTTTCCTCCCCTCCCCTTTATGGGGTTGTGCTCATTTGGACACTGAAGACTGGTGACACAAAAGACTAGAAGCTTCTGTTTAAACAACTGAGGTTTCTTCATGATCAGTGATGACAAAGTGCATATAAAGAATGAGCAATAAATATGAGCAATAATTAATAATAATTGTCAAATATTTCATCTCAGTAGCTTGGCAGCTATTGTGATCATTATATTCCCTAAAAACCTGTATGTCAGGGAGAAAGCTTTTATTACCTGGTGTTTAGGTATCTAATATAAGGTCTAATATTGTGTTAATGCTATATGATAAGTCAGTGGCTAGGCGTAGGATCCAATACTGCCACAGTGTGTCAATTGATCAGTATTCTGCTAAGAAACCTTTCGTCAAGGAGGCATTCAATTTAATGACATAAAGGCAGAACAGAATTCTCATAATCTTCTTGAGCTTCCAGGAAGGAGAATCTTTGTCAGTCACAGGCTATTTTCTAGCCAGATGGGCATTTATCTTGAATCCTTTGTGTTGTGGTTCAAATCCACTCATTTCACCCTTACTGAGCACAGACTGTGCACCCGGCCCTGTGCCACATGCAAGGGTACAATCACAAGCAAGTTATGGAGCCTGCTCTCAAGGAGTGTATAATCTTCGAGTTTGGGTACTGGTCACAACAGGAAACATTAATACTAATATTTCTTTAGATCATGCTCACTTGCAAATTACCATCTTACTTATGCAGTCACTTACCAAGCTGTATCCCACATCTGCTGGAAACTGTAGGGCTAGAGGACTCCATCAGAAAACTGTATTGTGGCTTGATAATACAGATAAGGCTGTATGGCCAGGCTTTACTGTATTGAACTAAGTATGTCTCCTTGGTTTCCTGGAGCACCGGAAGTGTCTGAGTGGTGTAAGGGCCTAGTGGCAGCAGCAACAGCTGAACCAGCATGGTGGCTGTCACTCACCTGGTGCTTTTGAAGCTCCTGGACATATCGGGTCATCTCTTCCTCTGTTTGGGTCTGGGCCCCCTTCTGATTCTTTCCTACAAAAAGAACCAAAGCTCAGAGAAGTGGTGGCTGTGGTAAGCCAAGGGGAACCCACCTAGCTTGGCCTTACAGATTCTCAATTAATCTTTATTTAACCTGTGGAAGGAGAGGCACATCACCTGCATTTCTCTGAGTATAAAGGCATGAAGGGCCTCATGTAACTGACACCTCAAGGTAACAGACTGTGAACAAGCAGTCTGCCCCCACTCTTCTCTGGCCTGTTCCTGGGGTCTGCTTCAACTGCTCAGCACATCTATGCCATAGGCTGGCCATACAGAAAAAGCTATGCCAAGAACCTGTCTCCAGGCTCAGGCAATTTCTCTGGGGCAGTGATAGTCAACCATTTACATGATCTCAAAATGTCCTGGAGAGCATTTTAAAATGTAATTCCTGGTCAGGATGTAGCTCAGTAGAGCACTTGCACAGTATGTGCAAAGCCCTGGCTTTGATACCAAGCACTACAAACAAACAAACAGAAGTTACCTAGCTTTCTCCTTTAGTGTCCAGTTTAATTGATATCAGTTGGGGCCTGGGCACCTATTTTTTTAAAAAGAGTCTCTAGGTGACTCTGATGTGTGACCAGGTTGATAACCACAGCATCTAGCAATGTTTCCCAGACTTGCACAATAATACAACTAAAATTACACAGGTTCTGCAGCTGTTCTTTTTGCAGGTTCTAATTCAGTAGAGCTGGGATGCTGCCCAGGAATCTCTGTTTATTGAACACAATATTTACCACTGGCAAAGACTGGACAGTGGCATCAATCTGTTCCTCACAACAGCTTCCCTTGGCCCAGGCTCCATCTGGCTTCAGATCTCAGGTGCTTGTTCTTTCTTTTGGGATTTGTGGTCTAAGCCTGGACTGCTTTCAGGTACAAGACTCTATAATTTCCTCTTAAATCCAAGACCTACACAGAAAGATACGCTGAGGTCCCCACGGTACCACCATCGGGATTACTACTTTTTATGTTCAGTGTTGGAGTTAGAACCTAGGGCCTCAACCGTACTGTTTTTGCTAGTGAGCTGCACCCCCAGCCCCTGGTTTGCTCTTTGTACCCACACAGAGTTCTGAACTTCAACCTGCTTGGGAGGGAGGGAAGGAGAAAGAAGAGAGAGAAGGAGGGAGGAGAGAGGAAAGGAGGAAGGGAGAGCTGTGTGGCAACGGAAACAGGCAATGTCCTATGGGGTGAGAATTTGGTTTCTCTCTGGTGCATGTTGTTGCCTGATGCATCATTATGCAGATGATCGTGCTTGGGATTCTGTAAACCAGCTACACCAACTACTGTGTCTCAGAAATAGAAAGCTACTTTTATGAAGCCGGAACAGGAGCAACTAGATGTGCATGGGCACTGCAGGGAGCTTGGAGAAGACAAATATAAAGTGATTCCTGGTTGAGGCAGGTTGGGCCTCAGTTCCAAGATATCCTCTGGTGGCTTCAGTATCTTTGGCATCAGTGTAGCCCAGGACCCAAATGACTACCAAGATAACCTTTAGCTTCTGTCCCCTACCCCAAACTCTCTCTGATGTCTTTACTCCTCAACCTAGCCAGTCCATGTGTCAACTATCTCAACTTTTATTTTTTGTTTTCTTTTTAGGACTGCCTGATTCTGTTAGGTTACAGAGTGTTCACAGACATTTATCTTTTTTTCGGCTGGGTATGGCAAGGTACAGTCATTTTGTCTTCCAACAACCTGAATCTTTTACACACAGTATTTCCTAAATGTCACAATGATTAAGTGCTTTGCCACTTAGTGGGATAATATACAAAGTGCTTAAAAGAGTACCTGACACAGAGTTCTCACTAAATCAGTTTGCTCTCCCGGTTATCGTCATTCCAGTCTGACTGCAACATTTATTCTTGCTCTGGGTCTTAATCCTCTCCTGTTTGAAGCCTCTGGAGTGATTTTCAAACTCAGTGCATCTGGGACAAATATTTTGCCTTCCATGTGACCTCTAGGAGACCTGACACTGAAAGTCTGGGCCTGCCACATGCTCCCTGGCGTTCTCGTCCCCAGGTACTGCCCTCTGCCCCATCATCCCCAGGCTAACGTCTCTCATGTGACTCTTGACACTGTTCCTTTTTTTTGTCTGAGGTGCAGCTCACCGTCACAGGTCATGGCTGTGCAGACCCAGTTTCCACAGGCACAGACACAGCGGTTACAGTCCACCTCGGTCTCAGCACCATCTGCATATGTTTCATCCTCAAGGGCACACTCTGTTAGACCAAAAAGAAGGGCAACAGTTTGGCTATAAGGCTGAAAGATGTGCGCAGCTTCCCCATTTCCCAGGCAAGGCTGTCTGCCTGCCAGAGGCACCATGGCTAAGCAGATACTCCCATCAAAATAAAGATTTTTGGGCTTAACTTCAACATGGAGCGGATCATGGAGGCAGATTATTTTGGCCAGCCCTGCAAAGTTCCATCAAACTTCTCCATTTTGGGCCCCCAAATGCCTCCATCCCTGAAATCTCTCGATTTCTAGGTTAAGCTTACTCTTCTCAGGAGGGTTGAAGGATGGATTGAGGCACTTGAGGAACTCTTGGAAGCTGAGTTTCCAATCAGCATTTTCATCAGACAGTTCAATGAGAGCATCAACACAGAGTCCTCTGAAATGAAATAGGGGAGAAAGGTGTCAGCAAGACCTTAGCTTCTTGATGAAGAAAGGAAGCATCATACTTAGATACACCCGGGGCCTCCCAGAGGCCAAGAAAATGACTGCTCTCTGAAAACCTTTCCCTCAACAGCAACCTGTTACAATCATTATCCATCCTGACTCCCCTGAGAATCTATAACGGCCAGTATATTAAACTAGATGTCAGTATCACTAAGCTGTTCAAATGTTCTCCCACGATGATGAACGTTTTGTGAACAGCTTTGTCTACCTTGAGTGACAATGCTTTCCCTACCTGCACACTTTTCTCTAGTGATTACCTTTCCCATAGTATAACTGTCAAATCAAATGGACCAGAAAAATCAAAATACAAGATATGACAGATGCTATGAAAGGAATGTGGGATTTGAATGAATATGGAATTCAAGCAAGAATCACTATTATCACTATTATAGAAAGAGATCTTTCAGAAAAGATCTATAGACCCTCAGCTCCATCAGTGCCCCCGACCTGGATTTGGGCCTTGGCTTAATCTCTTACTACTCAAATGGTCTTGAGCTAGATATTCAGCTTTCTGAGCTCATTTTCTTACCTGTAAAGGGAGGACAAAAAGCCTTCCTTCCCTGGGATGCTATAAGGTCAAACATTGAAATTATAAGACATTATCTAAGTTCAAGTCACCAAAATATGAAGGATTTACAGATCCTATACTCTACGGTCATGGGCTAGGGTTAGGAAGAATCCTAGAAGCTGTGCTTAGTACTTCTTTTGAACAAAAGACAGTTTCTTTTCCTAGTTTTAATTCTATCAACAAACTAGGACCACATCAGAAGTTTCTCAGGGATTCCTATTAATATTTATTCTAGACTAATACCAGAAAAGGAGAAGACATACATATGTAACAATTAGAAGTATACAGGAGACCACACCAATTATCTTAGAGTCAGAACTGAAGCTATTTTATGTTTTGTTTTGTTTTTTTTTGGTACCGGGGATCGAACTTGGGACCTTGCGCTTGTAAGGTAGGTGCCAGAACCACTGAGCTAAATCCCTGGCCCCTGAAGCTATTTTAGACCTATTTGATAATGGATTAATGTATTCCTTCAGAAAATCAACCAATAAAACATAATGCAGAACACTCAGAAATAATTTTGTTCTGATGTGACCTTGATCAGTTATTTTAAAATTACCTCCTTTCTTCCTTGCATGTTTTGGCCAAAAACAATAACTACTTGATTAGAATCAGTGTTGCACAATATATTAGTTTATAATGTTCAGAGCATAGAATAGAGCAGAATTTGTATTTTTCTCTACTATTTCACATTGGCACTGTTGGCTGTGCAGCAGGAAGAGGGGCTCAAATCCTTTCCCAGGCAGTGTTTCACCGTGCTCCACTCCCTGATCCTCACTGCCTCACCGTAGCAGCTTGTTGTTCTCCTGGTCTGCATAGGTGGTAATGTTGATGGCAGTTTCATTCTGCTCCACAAATTTCAGGAATTCACTGGAGTCCAGGCGAGAGTCACCATTATCAAAGTTCTAGGAAGGGAATTAAAAGATCTCTCAAGAATGTGTTATAAAACCTCTGTTCCACTCCCACCCTGCCAGCTCATCCCATTCTCTTTTTTTTTTTTGGTACCGGGGATCGAACTTGGGTCTTTGTGCTTGCGCAGCAAGTGATGAAACCACTGAGCTAAATCCCTGGCTAGCTCATTCCATTCTTGACATGTTCCAGCCCTCTCTGGCCTGGGCTCAAGGAGCTGAGCAACCCAGGCTGCAGGTGCTGGGCATCTAAAGACGGTAATGGTACCCTGAGATGAGTGAGTCAAAGTGCTTGGGCACAGGGTCCATCAATCCATATCCCACTGGGGAGGTGCAGTCTGAATGGGGGCCTGCATTGCCTGGAGGCCTGGGGTGTCTGAGAGCACTCTGCGGTCTGTCCCTGACACAGTCCTGCAAATACCCTCATCTCCACCCTTGGGTTCAGACCATGAGCAAACCCTCATGCACATGTGACAAGAGTATAAATTCACAAGCTACAAGACAGAATCTCAGGAAGCCCAGAATGTATGCTTCTAACAAGGAGCAGCAAGGCAAATGACCTTCCAAGCTCCCTTTGGGAATCACACAACTCTATCTTGCTGTTTGATTACCAGCCTCCTTGTACTTAACTCAGGGCTTAAGTGTCACACTGATACAAAGAACTCACCACATGAGTGAGAACTCATAGGCACAGGCCCCAAGTCAGTAAGCTGTGGACAGGGCTGGTGCAAAGTCCCTGTCCCTTCCCCCTGAGCTGTGGTCCCCACTGTGGATGTGTGCACAGGTTCTCAGACGTCCCCATGCAGGCTGTCCTGATGACCTAGCCGACATCCCATGGGCATGAGGTAAGAGTGTGATGAGCTCAGACACTGTGCTCTCCTTCAAAAGATCCTAAATGGAGACCTCAGCCATCTGGGATCACTCATAATGGTGAAGCTCCAGCTGCAGGAGCGGGGTGTCACTTTCAAGACACTGATCAAATTCCAAGTTGGATGCTGCTGCTTTTCTAATTCCATTAGTATTTTCTTCTCACTCCCAAATTCTTTCCCTAAGCTGCTTGGGAAATGATCAGCCTGTTACTTTTAAGATGATTCTCCAGATGGTGCAGGGGATTTTGGAGAAAAGTCTGTCCCAGGTTTCCAAGTAGAAGGGAAAAATGTAGCTGTAAACTCTCATGACCGCCATATGTCACATATGTTCCATTTTAAGCTTGTAAAGCTTTCCATGCCGTGCACAAGTATATATAGAACAGCTACTAGGCCTTTGGCTATTACCTGTTTACCATTCTCATCCTAATTCCCCGGAACAAGTCTCAGATACTCTTTACTCTCTGTACATTTTCCCTGAGGAAACTTCCCTAACATTCACCTTGTGAGGTCTTGGTTAATTAAGGGAGAGCAATTAAATCAGCTTGGGCAGCAGGCATTCTTAGAAGCAAAGGACTTTCGTGATTCCAAACATTGCATGTTGGGGGCAACAGAAACAACCTTCAGAGACCCCAACATCACCACGGCCTCCAGACAGAGTGTAGGGAGGGGTTTAGTCCTGCCCTGGCTGAAGACCCACTATGGAGAGCCCCTGTGGGTAGCCTGAACTACAGCCAACCAGGAGATTCACAAAGGCAGGGCTGTGTGCGCACACTTCTAACGTCAGTGGGCTTGAATCCAGGCTGGGAGCTGAGGGGACATCCTGGCCCTTCTGGAGTTTTATCTTAGAAGGGCCAGGCTGGGGCTCCCCAGGGCAGGTCTCTGTGTGGAATCCACAGAAGCACAGAACTCTGGTACCCGTCCCAGAAACAGCAGGAAATGCCTGTGAGGTCTTGATCTTAGACTGTGATCCAACCTCATTCATTCAGCCTCTTTTCAGCCAGCCAGTCACAAAGACACAGCCACCCTATATCTGAGACAATGCTTTCCTCCTGGATACCTGCAGGGTTGTGGAAAGGCAGAAACGAAGATGATTGGAGACCCAGGCTTGGTGCTCATTATTTTAAGTCTGAAGATTGTTCAGAGATGGGCTGAACCTGGCACTCACTCACACATAGTAGCTGGATGATGGAGTAACTGACACCAGATAGGGGGCTGCCTCCAGCATCGGCTTAGTCTCCAGGAGTCTTCTACCTGGTGTGCCATGAAAGGCTCATTCCACCAGGGTCTTTTCTTCTTCATTCTGTTTTTACCTAAGAAATACTGTCCAAGTCACTGGCTGAAAGGCAGATTTTGGTGAAAAGCAGATTTTGGCCACATCCACACTGATTCACTTTGCTTTTCCACTATTTTGGTGTGAGGAATGTCAGCTTGGCTGGAGAACAAATCACTAGGTAGTTCAGGAAGACTCCTGGGGCCTCAGCGCTCACCAAAGGCCCTATTGGGAGGGAGCTGCCTTGAGAAGAGAACAGCACACAGGCCGCTGGTGCTTATCAATCAAGGGAATCTCCAATTTGCTTCTGGAAGACACTGCCACAGGGTCTGGGAAGAACTCTGTGATTGTCAGTGTGCCAATGCTCTCTGAACTGGGGGACTGTCCTCAACAGAAGCTTCTTTCTCAAGGGGTTGTGCAGTTTGCATCCAGGAACCTAAAACAATGTTACTGTTGGGAGAGGAGGAGGCCTGGGTACCTGGGAATCAAGTCTAATAGTCAGGTGCCACCAAAGGACTGCTACAAATTGTCCCAGGTTCCAGGTGGCTTCACAGCTCCATGCTCCAATCACAAGGACAAGTCCCTGTTCACAACAGGCCCCACAGGTACCACACACTTGGCTTTGTAAAATCGTGTTAAGTTACTTCTTGCTCCTGTCCAACTCCTGCTCAGCAAATGGGTGTGTTTTTCAGTAGAAGAGGAACCACCCTACGGCAAGGGTTGTCCTGTGGGAGTGACTAAAACAGAGGACACAGTGAGCAGGGCTGTGCTTTCTCATCCAAGCATGCTCTCAAAACTGTGGAATCCAGAGAGATTCCATCTCTGCCACAGGGGAAAGAAACTTTATCTAAAAATAACAGCATAAAGAGAAGTCTTAAGCAATCAGATATCCATCTTATCCCAGCCCAGTATTTCTCCATCTGTGGGGTCAAAAGAAGGATTCACGGACTGGATAGACTGGTGTTGAGAATGTGGAGAGGCCTCAGTGCTGCCAAGAAGTCCCTCAGGTGTCTGGAGCTCTCCCAGAGTCCTGGCTGGTTAGGGCCTGGGACAGCAGGCCCTGGGAACACGTGAGGGAGAACTTGGCCTCAGGATATGCGGCCAAGGCCTAGAGATGTGTCGGAAAATGATGAGGGATCGATGGGAATGTAGGTGCCAGAATGGGTGTGTGTAGGCATGTCCCTGGCCTGTTGTGCATGTGACTGTGTTTATGTGTCTGTACTTCAGAGTGGGACATGCTTATCTGAGTGTGATGTTCCTATGTACATGCGTGTGTTCTTGTCGGTCACACTTCAACTGCTTCTTCTATGACTCTGAGCTTTCAGAAAGATCTCATACCATTTCCTCCCTTACTTTCCTGTTTGAAAGTAGCATCTCTCCTGGTTTGACTGGAACTCTGTCTCTTCCACTAGGCAGAAAGCAACAGCTGTCTGTAGGATCACAAAGAATCTCTGGACCCTTAAAATGCCAGTCCGTGGGCTCTTGCTGATGGGGAAGCTCTGCAGGCTATGGACAGTAACTTAGAGAAGTGGTAAACTGGGTAGGAAAGAGGCTGAAGTGGTTTGGGACTGGGTGAGATCAGAAAGTACTTTGCATCAGCAGCCAGCTCTGTAAGGTGGCACAAGAGTTAAGGGCTAGAGCACAGCCGTATTCTTCCTGACAGCCTCTCAAGACATCCGTGGTTTAACTGCCCAATAGGAGCAGCAGAGGTAAGATGGGTTCCAAGGCTGACTGCTGGGCTCCCACTGAGCAAGTGGGTCACACATTGAGCAAGAGGAATGATCTATGATGAGGAAACACGCAGGGACTCTAAGCAGGTGTATGTTGTCTCATGGTCAGGCAATGAAGGAGGAAGTTCCCCTTTCTTTGGGACTGAACAGTTTTGACCTTGACTCTAATTACCTTAAAGTACTTGTCTAGGATTTCACTGTAGTTGCTGCCTTTAGAGAACCAGCCATCTGGGATGATCTCCGCTTCCAACCACTGGATGATGCGACGCCGGAGCTCATCTCGGTTGGCCTGATAGCAAACGACTGCAGGAAAAGGGAGACATGTCAGCTGGGTGTGGAGGAAGGATTGCAGTGTCATCTGGCACCCATTTCTCATGGGGCTCAGTGCTCAGGCACTGCATAAGTCATCAGATTCAGCCTTCACAGCACCCAGGGGACACAAGATGACCACACCCTGGGTACATAATTGGGAGGTATCTAACCAGGGAGTCAAACACATGTCTCTAAAACATTTATAAAGATTGAGAATGTTGAAACAGAGAGATTTTGTTGTTTAAGTCAGAAAAAAATAGGGCAGCAAATACAGAACATTTTCATTAACTTCAAGAAGATGAGGGGAAAAAAACCCCAATCACTAAAGCAGCTCTCTTGGCTCCAAGATAAGCAGAGATAGCACAGGAATAAATGACAGCATTACAGTTCTTGAGGTCACTGCATTTCTGATTTTTCTTCCTTTCTCACCAACTAGATCTATCAAAACTTTCTCCCACCTAAAATTTTATACCACTCACACCATCCTCTATTATACACAACAGAAAATAAGCCCAAGAAAGGGCCGTGCCACAGCTCTGCTCCAGGCAGCTGTTGTGAGCTGAGTGAAAGCCACAGGTGAGACTGAGAGTCAGATGAATGGGGAGCAGAATAGAGGGGCGCTTGGCAGAAGTCCTAGAAGACAACGTATGCTGGAATGTGGGAAGGACACAGGGCTGGGGAATGGACATTCTATTGGGGAATGGACATGGATATTCTTTCTCACTCTGCCCTTCCCTGCTGTGTGATGTGGTGATGATCTCTCTCAGCCTCCATTTCCTCCTCTGTACGGTAATTACAGTGAGGTCGCCCTCACCAGGATGCAGTGAGGTTGGAGGAAAGTGCTTGGAAAAGGGGTCTGTATCTAAAATCATAATGAAATTTTAATCTGTATTAATAGAAAACCACAGAAGCCCTATTAGCACATCCAGTTATCCCTTCTCAGAGGACTTCGGCCTCCTGGTACTGCTGGGCTGGTGACATGCGGCTTGCAGGGCACTGAAGGAAGCATTCCGGCTTCCCATCCTTGCAGTGCAGCCACTGCTCAGCAGGAATGGAGAGCAGCTAACATGCCACCCCACCAGCTGCTTTAGTTGGCAAGCACCCAAAAATGCAGGTTTGCCATTTTCCTGAGCTGTGCTGAGGAGTGGCTGGTTTGGCGTCAGAAGTTCTGACACACGCAGAAGATCTTGTGAGCTCTGCAGGGATTTCTGTCACAAAAAGAATTTCCTCCCTAAGATACATGGACACTGCAGGAAAAGCCAGGGACTCACCTGGACTGGCGGATGGAGTTACAGATTTCTTTTCTGCAAGACAGAAAAGGAAAATCTATAATGCAAAGTGAAGAAATAAAGAGAATACCTGCACATTTCTAGGACTAAAACCAGCCCTAGCAAAGGGGCCTGTTGGTAGGTTTTCATCATTTTGTCTTCGTTCTTTTTGCTTTTCCTTCCTTCCTTTAATATTTTTATTATTTTTAATTTTTTTCTTTTGGACACTGGGGATTGAACCTAGTACCTTTGCACTGAACTATATCCACAGTCTTTTTTCTCATTTTTATTTTGAGATAGGGTCTCTCAAGTTGCTAACCCCAAGCAGGGCTTGAATTTGCAGGTTTCTTGCCTGGGATTACAGGCATATGCCACCAGGCCTGGCACTTTTCCTTTTTCTAAGGTCCAAGTACTAGATATTCTCTTTACTGCTTTGACATTTTAGGGTGCTCCTGTTCTCACACTTCCTCCTGTTGGGTGGAGAGTCCCTGGGATTTTTAGATTTCATATGGTGGGAAAGTCGTGTGGTTGTGTGGTGGTCCACTGCTCTGTTCCCTGTCTCCCAGGCCTGGAGCTGCCATGCAGTGGTGATGGTGTGCTTTACCTTTGCAGTGCCCATCATAATCAACCTGAATTTTGGATCCAGTGAGGCAGGCATCTCGATGCAACTCACAGTGGTTGAGGTAGGTCTTGCCATTACTGCCACACACAGGCCTCTTGTGAGGTTTGCATTGCTGAAATAGAGCCAAGGCAGGATGTTTGTGTAGTCATGGGTACGTGTACACACACATGCACACACTCATACTCTAAATTCTTCTTGGGCCTACTTATACACATTTCTTGCTTTGTTTAGTATTTGGGAGCCATTTTATTTTCCTTCTAATTTCACTGCCGCTATTGTGCGGCTGTGGGTGGGGGTGAAGAACTGCAGAAAATAGTTACAGGCAGGAATATGGAGCAAAGTCCATTTGGCAACGAAGTTCGGCTTTGGCTGTGGCTGAAATGACCAAGATCACAGGCAAGCTCAGTTTCATTAGACTTTTGTGGCTTTTAAAAAAGGGAAAAAGAAGGGAAAAGCAAGTTTATCTCAGATCTAATAAAGAGACAAAAACAAAACAAAACAAAAAAGGAGAAGAAAGGAAAAAACAAAAGAAAGAGTAGATGTTCAAATGGGTAGGGGAACTAAGGAGGGGTGGAGGAAAGGAAGGAAGCTAAAGGAAAAGAAAATGAGAAAAGAAGGAAGCAAAGCTTTTGAAAATAAGGAGGGGAAGAGGGGTTGAAGGGAGGATAGGAGAATGGGAAAAAAGTATCAAGATAGATCATGTACAGGTACAAATTCCCTATGATCAATGTGATGATTATGTGTAACTAAAATGTTCCAATAAACTTAATTAAAAACAAACAAACAAACAAACAAACAGAGTAGATGTGGTAAAAAGGAAAAAAACCACTGGACCTGGAAAGTAGCCCATTCCTCCAATTTATAGACTAAGATACTAAAATAAACTTTCTTTATTCACTTAAATTTAAAAATAAACTTTCTTTATTCGCTTAACCATTATTTACTATTTACTATGGAATGCCTACTGTGTGCTGTGTGCTGAGCAAAACCAAATGGGTGCTGTTTCTTCATAGCAATTCATGGGAATCAGGCTGAACTGAGAGTAGACATCGGGTTTCCAGATCTATCCAAAGTCTGGGCTCATGCCACCACACTGTGGCCAGGGTACTTCTAGTGAGGACCTCTTGGGGCAAAGATTCCATCCAAGGTGGGAGACTCTCCTTTTCGGAGTAATGTATCAGGGTCTTGAATTTGGAGGCTAAGTTGGGTGTATTTACTTGCAGAAAGACCTGTGTTTTCAGGGCACAGGTTGGTCTATAATCTCATTTTTGTATAAAATGGGGATCATATTATATATTGTGTATAAAATGGGGATTATGTTTATATTAGCATAGAGAAAAAAACTTGGAATAATATATACCAAGCTGTCAATACCAGTTACCACAGACTAATGGGATTAGAGGGGTATAAAGAAAGATTGTTAATTTTATGTCTATATGAATGTCTATACTATAAACAGGAAGTAGTTTTTTAATTTAAAAAATCTTATATAGCTAAACTTTTAACCCCAGGGAAAAAATTCTACATCTTTGACAGCTCTTATAGAGATGATGAAATCACTAGTAACGTCCTTGGACTGGCTTTGGCCACTGTCCTCTGGTCCCTGCCATCAGGACCTACCTCGATGCAGAGGCAGGTGGGCTCTCCCTTCTCTGTGACTGCACATTCCCGGCCAGCTCCACAGAACACATTGGCACAAATTTTGGATTTGCTCCTTATTTCTTCCTAAAACACAAATCATAAAGGAAACCATGTTACTGAGGTGAACCCATTATAAGATGACCCAGTGACGGTGGTTATTTTCAGGCTTGGGCTTTGGTCTGGAATTGCACCTCATGGTGTTGAGGGGTTGTGATCAGCCATAAGTGGTCCCCATCAGTCAGCACCATAGTCCCAGGCATAAGTTCAGGTAGCTCTGACTCCCTAAGATTGATTTTCTAAAAGTAAGCATTCCTTTCTTCTTCCCTTTTTAAAAGTTTATTGAGCACACCTATTATATGCCAACACTACATAGAGACTCAGTATTCAAAGGACAGTCCTTATTCTCAAGAAGTTTGAGGACCTTCTGGAAAGAGATATTTAGAAATATATGTATGCACACCAATATGCATATATATGTATGCACACCAAGAAGAGCCCCAGGAAACTGGAGGGAGAGAAGGGCATGAATCAAATGATTCTTTCCGAAGCCTTATGTGATTCTCAAAGGATGAGAACACTAAGCCAAGTAGAAATGGAAACATTAGAAAGAAATATAAACATCACAAGGATCAAAACCTCACCAAGTGGTGTTAAATGTGATATTATTGAAAAGGGCAAGAGAAGGATGGCTAAACCATGAACACATGCATTTGCTATCTTTCAGTATTCAATCCCTGTCCATGTCTGCTCTGGCTTTAAGATTGGAGGGCCAAACTACCCCTAAGGAGAGTAGAAAATCTGAAGGTAGAAATACCTCCAAGCTACTTTCTGGTCAGGATTCCTGTTCAGACACGGGCAGAACTGACAAGGCAGGGAAAAAATCACCAAAGTACAGGCTTGAGAGCTAAGGGCCTGTGCCCAATACAGCTGGTCTGCTGCCACCTGGAGGCTGCATGGCAAACTCCAGGTTATTCTTTTCTCCCACAAACCAGCTTGGGTCAAGCAGGGCTCCCATTGGTTTAGAAGTTATTTGCATGCTCTCATTTCATTGGTTTACATGCTGTTACCAAACCAATTCTTTTGTGCATGTTGCTAAGGTGAATTCAATAAAGCTGGCAAGCAGGGAAGAAAAGAGGAAGTAATTCCCAGAAGGCTGGGGACCCTGGAGAGCTGTTGTTTCCTAAACCGGGAGTGGAGATAAAATCAGGCATCTACTCCAGGCGGGGCCCTCTTGTTGGGGGCACAAGAGGCAGGGCCCTCTTGTGGCTCTCTTGTAGTAAAGCAACACTAAAAAAGAAGAGAAAAGGCTACCACTGATCACTTTAAAAAAGAGAATTTCAGGATAACCTTGTCCCCTCTCCTCCACTAGACACTGTAACCCTGTGGTTGTATCACTTGAGCTACAGACACAAATGCATCCAAAATGCCTGCAGTCAAGGACACACCAGCACCCAGCTTCCCTGGCGGACACCTACAAACTTACTCTAGCTGTGTGTCCCTAATTAGTCACTTTAATTAGTTGAGACTCAACATTTCCTCGTTTGTTACAGAGGAGGAGTTACCAACCCTGCCCCGTGAAGATGAAATGAGATCATATATTTGGGAGTACTACAAACCACAAAGCAAGCTACCCATGAGAAGTGTGATTAATGGAAATATTGTATAGTGCTGGCTGCAGAACTGCAGGTGGCAGTTACACAGCCCCATTTTCTCTTAAGTTGTTTTAGTGAGCATTAAAAATAAAAGTGTTTCCTTAATAACTGAATTCAACCAAAGCAAGTGTTCAGAAATAGTTCCCCAAAATCCATTTGGAGAAATATACCTTTTACTTAAATGAGAAAAATATTTTAATAGTACAATTAATATTTATGAAGTGTTTCATATACCTGATTTCATCTTACTGTGCAGACAATTGTATATTATTGTTTGTGCTATTTTATATAGAGGTGGAAATTGAAGATCAGAATGATCAAAAGGACTTACCCAAGATTCAAAAGCTAACAATGATAAGAGCTCAGATTCTAACACAGATTTTTCAGATCACATATTAACTAAGTTCCCATTTACAAATACCTGGTATCCTGCTAAATGATTTATTATATAAACTGTACAATTACTCCATAGATTAGACATCATTACCATCCCCATTTCACAGATGAGGAAACTGAGCCTTAATGGTCAAATAGCAAGAGATAGAACTACAATTCTCCTCAATCAAAAAAATGGGTTCTTTTTAATTTTCATATCCAAGTGACTTAAGCCTAAGGAAACAACAATGAGGATGTGAATTATCCACAGCTCACCTTTGTTCCTTATTTGCCACAGTCAAGGACAAGGTACTGTACTCTCTTAAACCTCATCAGTTTCCTCATTCCCACAAAGTGAGAATGCTGATCCTCAGAGGGCTGCTGCTACGATTGCATGAGATGCACAGTATGCAGCAGAGTGCCTGCCAAACAACAGAATATGGCTGTCTCCACAATGGACAATTTATTCCCAGTCTTCCCACTGAGATGCTGTCACTGCCCCTTGGGGCCATCATGTCCTCATTCTTCCCTGTTCCCTCTTACAATGGAATGGAAATACTGAGAGCAACAGGACTGATGGAATAGAAAAAGCAAAGGGCCTAGTAACTCCCATGGCCTGTCTGCAGAGCACAGGCAATGGGGAGCCATTAGTTAACAACCATTCCTCTTTGCAGGTAACACATTTGTCAATAGGTGGCAATCTCTTTCTTTGTCTCACGCAGAGCCGAATGCAGACTTGTAGGCTCAGCTCTGGTAGCTCTGCTCAGCTTTGTCCTCCAGTGAGAAGTGGTGCGGGGGGGTGGGGGGGTGGCAGAGAACAGGGTGAACACTCCACCAGTACAGGCAGGAGGATCTGTCAGGTTGGGAAGGAATGTCCTCCCCTGCAGCCCTCAAGCTCCTCCCCAGCTCTCCTCATTCATAGGCATGCTCTAAATCCCAAATTTAAAACAATGAAGGATTTTCTCCAGAAAGGTGGCATTTGCACCACTGAAATCCTTCTTCGAGCCCCAACTTCTCCAGAAGTAAGAGTGTCAGATGCAGCCCCAAGATCCTAGAAAGTTCCTTAGGGTGGCAGGTAGTCTGACTCATCTGCTGCCTGACCACTGCTGAGTGGAAAAGAACACCTTGGGAAAGTGAACATAGCATGAACATGTGCATGGGTGGTGAGGGGGTCACTCGAGGAGGGGAGACGATGAAGTGAGGTAGTGGGTGGTGGTGAGCAAGGTGGGTTTCAACAGCTGATCTCAGGGCCTTCATGGCTCTGGTAGACAGAGAAACTCTGGTCAAGGGAAGGAGCTGTAGGGAAAGGGGACAGCAGCAAGGGCTGTCCCGGAGCACAATGTAGATCTGACTCATCTCCACATTGCTGTTTTCATGATGTGTATTGCAAACTGGCTCTGGGGATTTGGTCTAAGGGTTTTTTTTGTTTTTTTTTCTTTTGTACCAGAGATCGAACTCAGGACCTTGTGCTTGCGAGGCAGGCACAGTGCCACTGAGCTAAATCCCCAGCCCTCTAAGGGTTAATTTTCACACTGCAAAATCCCCTTGTTAAAGACTCATCAGGAACATTTCTGACTTTTACCAGGGAAAAACTTTCTCTGACCAACTGTCATCCACTGCACGGTAATAATGATACTTTATACCAGTTCAGCAATTTTGATGAATATGTAATTTTTACTTTCACTTTTGACTCTTGAAGCTTTTTTAAATGGGCTGGCAGGGGTTACCTCTAACAGCTTCCTGATATAAGATTTTATGAAGAAAATGAAGCAAGACTCACAGCTACAAATGACTGATCCAAGATCTGATGGTGAAAGAGCTGGGTCTCCGGACTTTAATTCCAGTCTTTTCCTCTTAACTCTGCCTCTCTACAAATCAAGTCCAGGAAAGGTGTTGTCTCAAGTCCAAGGTCTTACACAATGGAAATTATTTTTTGCAAGCAAAGGAGACCCATTGTAAGCAAACGGAAAAGCAAGTTATTTGCAAAACCACCAGGAGAAGTGATGGAGTGTGAGTCTCTAGGCTAAAGATCATTAAGCCTGAGCCTAAAGTACACTTTCACTGTCTTAAAAAAGTCTTCTGAAATAAAATAATTTCTGGAAGAACAGAGTGCTTTGGCAAGGGAGGAAGCTTATAAGTGAAGCCATAAAACTGTCAGCTTAGCATAACATCATTTCACTAAGGTGAACTGGGTTGGCTCTGTCCCCTCATTCTTTTCCTCCTTCTCAACTTTTTTTTTTTCTGGAAAAAGCAGCTTTGGTTATGCCAAGGTGGCATTTTGGCTCCACTTGCCTCTATTCTGTGATAGAGCAGCTTTGTTGACCTGAGAAAGGCTCTCCTTGTTTTGCCAGAATAGTCATGGCAACTTCACAGGACACAAGGGCTCTCAAATACACATAGTACCATGGAGATAAGGACAAAAGAGTCCAGAGAACTGGGGAGAGCAGGGTGCATATGTAGAGGGGTTGCTGAGGGTGGGATGCTCACTCCTCCCAGGCAGCCACTCTGGAATGGAATTCTGCAGCAAAGTCCTAGAAAGCCAAGGAGAAAGAACAGAACCGTGGCAGCCCCTTGACATCTAGCTAGAGCACTATGTGATCTTGCTCAATCTCTCTGATTCTTTGCTTTGAAAAAGTACCTGCTGGTGTTGCTAGGGAAGGAGGAAGTGTCCCTTCCTTACATGTGTTCACAACCAATTCCTCATCTCAAGGTCAGTGTACCAGCGCCAGACCCAGGTCTTGGGAGGCTTGGAGCTTCAGTAATTTAGGGGCCCTTTGTAGGAAAAAGAAAACACATCAATGAATGCAAAAGTAGCCACAGGGCCCTGGAATTGGCCTTGCAAGTAAAGGGACTGAAATTTATGCTTAATTAGCTGCATGGAAATCTAAATCTCCATTTGCCCTATTATTTTCTTCATAAACAAGATACGGTTTATGGTTTGGGCCAATTAATTGGGCCATCAGCCCTACTTACCATTTTCTGCATATACGCCTTACCAAGTAGACTGTAAGTGCCCTATTCCCTTTGGCTTCCACAGACCCATCAGTGTCCTGCCTG